CTGAAAATCTTGTTGTACAAAGCCTCAGTCACCTTTGAATTTCAGAAACACTACAATTTCTCAGATCATTCCATGATGAGATCAAACTGTTAAGCAGGAATGATCACTTCAAGAAAGTCAGTTTGTTTACCTCAAAATAAAGATGTCTGCACATTGCCTTGAAAAACAGAAAGGAGCTGGGCACTAGTGGCTCACACTGCAATCCTAGCTACTCAGGAGGCTGAGATCTGAGGACTGCAGTTCAAAGCTAGCTTGGGCAGAAAAGTCCTTGAGACTCTTATCTCCAATTAACGACCAGAAACCAGAAGTGATGTTGTGGCTCAAGTGATAGAGCTCTCACCTTGAGCTGAAGAGCTGAGGGACAGCACCCAGGCCCAGAGTTCAAGCCCGGCAACCAACTAGACCACATCTGACCAAACTGTTAAATTGTTTCATCTCCTGCCCCCTGCCCCGATTCTTCCTCTATTTGAATCTAAAGCTCATGTCAGTACCCCAAAAGATGAACTTAGATGCTTCATCCCATCTAAATTCCCAACATAGTTGTGTTGATTAAAATCCTTCCCTGATCTTTCACCCACACTTCTATTTACTTCCTCTGGGAAAGTAGCCGGAACCTGACATGTTAGAATCCTCAGAGCTGGGCCTGTGGCTTAGAACTTCGGTTTCACAGTTTTGTTTTTTGGGTTTTTTGTTTGTTTGTGTCAGTTGTGGGGCTTGAACTTTGGGTCTGGACATTGTCCCTGAGCTTTCAGCTCGAGCCACAGAGCCACTTCCAGTTTTCTGGTGATTAATTGGATATAAGAGTCTCAGACTTTCCTGCCTGGGCTGGCTTTGAACCGTGATCCTCAGATCTCAGCCTCCTTAGTAGCTAGGATTACAGGTGTGAGCCTCCAACACTCAGCTGGTTTCACAGTTTTGCAATTAACATTCACAGCCTGTGGGTGAGAGAAGGGACCTTAGAGAAAATCTTCCCTCTCTTCATCCTATAAGCAGGAGCCTGGGCCTGGAAGACAGTAGACCTGACTTGGTCAGGTCATCCAGTAGCTCTGGGCCAGTCCTAGAGCCTCAGCACCTGACCCAATCTTCAATCTATGTCCTTTCCTTCCTTCTTCCCACTGTCTCCCTCCTTCCTTTCCTCCCTCTCTTCTTTCTTTCCTTCCTTCCTTCCTTCCTTCCTTCCTTCCTTCCTCCTTCCTTCCTTTTTTGACTTGAATACAGGGCCTGGATGTTGTCCTTGAGGCTTTTTTGCTCAAGGTTAGTACTCCACCAGTTGAGCCACAGCTCCACTCCTGACTTTTTTGGTGCTTAATTGGAGATAAGAGTCTCATGGACTTTACTGTCTGGTCTGGCTTTGAACCACAATCCTCAGATTCCAGCCTCTGGCTGATGACAGGCATGAGCCACTGGTGCCTGGCTCTGTGTACTTTTCTTATCGGAGCACATAGTGTGATTTTGAGGCAAGATAGTCTAGGGAAAATGAGACGTGGTGAATGACTGCCAGGAATTCAAAAACTCAAGCTTAAAACTTATCCATATACTTCCCTTAAGATAAGGGAACAAAGTCATTTTAGAGGAAATGAAGCCGGTAACTAGGGAAAATGAAATATGGTCAGCTTACAGCAAATACAGGAGATATTCCTTCATATACTTCACTTAAGATTAAGGGAACAAAAGTCATTTTAGGGGAAAATGAAACAGGATAACAAGGAAACTGACACCTGGTGAAAGCAACTTAGAAATATGGTATTTAGAAACATGGAAGTGCCAGTGTTACTTCAAAGGCAGACAACAATGCATCCTGAGGGATGCATTCCTTACCCCAAGAATTAGCACTTGTCTGAGAGGATGTATGCCTTCCTGAGAAAAATGCGTCCCCAATCTTAAGCCACCTCCTGCCCCAAAATGCAGATAACAGGGCACCCCTTGTCTCAAGGATAAGGATCTGTTTTATGGCAGGATGCATTCTTACCTGGTACACCTATCTTTATATAATGTAGAAGCCAGGACTGCCACCCCCCCCCCACCTTACCATATAAATATCCCAACAGCCCAAGGAGCTGTGTGTGCGTGTGCGTGTGTGTGTGTGCGTGCATGCGCATGTGCGCGCACCCATTGTGTGCCTCTATCTCCCTGTCAGAGCACCCACAATCTATTAAAGTGTTTCCCGGCCCTTCTGCTTGTCTGTTTTGAAGTAAGGAGGTCAGGTCTGGCTGGTGCTATATTGGCCACATGGTAAATGGTAGGGTCTGGCATCTTGTCTTCATGCCAGTTCCCAGGCAATGGACATGCCTGGATCCCTGGAGGCTGGGGAGGGCACTTAGCTGATAGGTTACTGAACCTGTCAGTCTAGGTCCTGGGACTAGGAATTTTCTGTGACCCTGCCCCCTGCCCTGTCCCTGTTTAGGCCTGGAGGAGCATAGGTGCCATTATACCATGCCACGAGCCTCCATGTTCACTTCCTATTTCCTGCCTCCTGACTCATCTCTGGTCACCATGCATCCCAGTTCAGCTCTCCATTAGAGACAGTCACATGGGTTATATGGGCAGTCACATGGGTCACATTACATAGACTAGAGGTTTTATAACGGTGTGACATGGACTACAGGAATTGGGGGGGAGAAACACATTCCGAGAAGATTGTTGCAACCAGGATGGGAATTTGTACATCACACTGGAAATAGTATCAGGAAATAGTAACAGATTTTTGTGAACAAGTCGGGACACAGTGGGGACTTAATCATTGGCAAGCTGACTCTGAGACCTTAGATTCCTGTCTTTTTTATGTAAAGGTTTAAAAGTAAGAGGGTCAGCGGGACATTCTCTAGCTGCTTCCTGCTGGTCGGGGCCATCAGGTTCAAGCATGAGAAGGTGTATAGGGGGTCCTGAGGGCTGTCCTTTTTCGGTATCTGCTATCCTGCCATGTAAAGTTCTACATGGTTGGTGAAGGCTTCTTTTCATTGCTGTAAGAAATTGCTGGCACACTTGAACAGACAGGGTCCAAAAAGAAGAGCCAGGATAAGGAGCAGTAGGGGTCCCGTGAATGGTAGGATCCATGGGAGAAAAGACCCCCATACAGAACTGAAAAGGGACTGTGATTGTAGTTGATTATCATTTTTTTGTGTTCTGTCTAGCAGTCTTTTAGCCCCCTTCCTTCACCAGGCCAGATTTGTTATGAGAGAAGCAGCATTCCTCCTCTAAGGACAGACCACCTTTTTCTGCAAAAAAGTCTAGCCCTTGTCTGTTCTGGAAAACCATGCCCTCTAAATAATCCAATTAGTCTTGTACCTCAGATAATTGTTGGGTGATTTCCTGGAGAGAGTCTCGAAGCTCAATAGAGAGGGTCTTGTAATAGGTAAGAGATATATAGCCAACCCCCCATGCCAATCCAATGCCTGCCATTATCCCCAGTTCTTCCAGAAGAGGTACCAGCTGGACAGCTTGTCAGCACCACTGGAGAGGTGGGATTGAAAGAAAGGGAGTGTGGATGGGACAAGCAATGAGGCATCTGTAGGGGCCAAAAAGACTGAGGGTGAAAGATAAACAAGGGTCCAGTTGATAGGCAAGCATAGATAGGAAGTTGAGATGCAGAGAAAAAAAACGAGCCATTTCCAGGCAAGCACAGGGCATGTGAAAAGAGAACAAATGGAGTAAAGTATAGATACTTTGTCCTGCAGGCTCAGCACTCCACACAGAGCATGAGGAGGCCAGAGCAATGCCTGGGAGAAGGGTAAGTGAACTGGAGTAGAAGGAAGATTGGAGACACTGGTAGTAGAGTATGGAGTTAGTTAGCCAAGGGGAAAGATGGTAAGAATTGTCTAATGGCCATGAGCAGCCTAGGCCAGGTACATTAATTGGGGATGGCGGGTGGGGGTGCCCGGTGAAGTGGACAGCTTGTAAAAACTTGCCATTGACCTCCAGGGACACAGCATAATCTACTTGGGTGATTTGATGATCTGAGGGGTGGTCATTAGAAATAGTGTGGTTGCAGAGGTATGGAGGCAGGATTCCTACCAGGGTAGCAAAAGGGGTAGGAGGGGAGGAGAAGCAGAGGGCTGCTGGGGCCAGTAAAGAAGTATTACGGGGGCTGGGAAGGTGGCTCAGTGGTAGAGTGCTTGCCTTGCATGCCTGAGGCCCTGGGTTCAATTCCTCAGCACCACATAAGCAAAAAGAAAAATGCCGGAAGTGGCGCTGTGGCTCAAGTGGTAGAGCGCTAGTCTTCAGCTGAAGAGCTGAGGGACAGCGCCCAGGCCCAGAGTTCAGGCCCTGCGACTGGACCCCCCCCCAAAAAAAGAAGAAGTATTACGGATAATGGGTCCAAAGATGGGGATAGAATTAAGTTTAAAGTAATGGAGGGAGTTAAGATAGGTGGAATAAAGCCAGGTAACCTGCCCTTCCCTGGAAGAGGGGTAGGATTGGAGATAGGTATTAGATTGAACAAAGAAGGGGGAGCCTTTAACTTCAGAATAGGCTAGGCAAATGGGTAAGAGAGGCATTGAGGGGAACAGGGAGGGTAGAGTAGGTAGAAGAAGAGTTGGACAAACAAAGCCAGCACCCATCAGCATAGGAGGAATTTTATGATTTTAAGAGAGAGAAAGTGAGGTTGAGGGATCTTTCCAAGCCTAGGGACCAGGGAAGAGAGCTTGTCTGCTGTTCCTTGAGAGGGGAAGAAAAGGGGAAGAGAAGAGAACAAGTCTGAGTCAGAGGGTGGTAACTGGCATGGCTGGTTGGCTATTGTGTATTCACGGTGGTTGCTGGCAACTGGTCTGTGGGAGAAGAGGAGAAAGATTGGAATCTCTAGGTGACTGAATAGAAAGTAGTGTGGAAGAGGAGATAGTTGGGGACAGAATAGTGGAAGAGTAGGAGAAGGGTGAGAGAGTTGTAGGGGTGTGAGAAGGGAGAAGGTGACTCATGGAAGGAATTAGAGAGAGGTGATTTCAGGAGGACTTTTCCAAGAGTTTTACGGCAGTAGGAGTGGTTAGGGAAACTGTGGAAAGACCCGCTCATTTTGGGTGTAGGGGCTTGGGAGAGTGAGTTTTAAGGAGGACCCTTTCGCCTGGGTGAATCTTAAGGCCAGTTGGAATGGTAGGAACAGACTGGGGTAAGAAGGAGTCTGCTTGTTCCCGGAGGAGTTGTCTATAGAGCAGGAAGGTAGGAAGGTATGAAGTTAGAGGATTGGAATCTGAAGACAGGGTAGAGGTAGGGAGTAAAAAGAGGCGGGCATACGTTAGCTCAAAGGGTTAAGGTCAGAGGGTCGATGGGGCACTGCCCTAATGCAAGTGAGGGCGAGAGATGAAAGTTGAGTCCAGGGTAGATGGAGTTCAGAGGAGAGCTCAGTAATATGAGTTTTAATCATGTGATTGGCCTTTTCTACCTTACCAGAAGACTGAGGGCAGCAGCGGATGTGAAAGTTCCATTTAAATTGGAAGGCCTCCATTGTGAACCGAGTGATCCTTGAAACAAAGCCAGGGCCATTATCAGACTGGAGAGAAGTGGGAACACCAAAACAGGAAATGATTTCTGAGGATAAAATAGTGGCAACAGTGGAAGATCTTCTGTCATAGTGGGGAATACCTCAATCCATCCTGAGAAGGTGTCTACCATTGTGAGGAGGTATTTGATTTTTTTTTTTGAGGGTCCAGTCGTGGGCCTGAACTCTGGGCCTGGGTGCTGTCTCTCAACTCTTCAGCTCAAGGCTAGCACTCTACCACTTGAGCCCCAGCGCCACTTCCTGCTTTTTTCTTTTTGCTTATGTGGTGCTGAGGAATCGAACCCAGGGCCTTGAGCATGTAAGGCAAGAGCTCTACCACTGAGCCGCCTTCCCAGCCCTTTTTGTGTGGAGGTATATGTGTTAAATCGAATGTTCAGTCCTGTCCTGGCATGGCCTTGGGCTTGATAGGTAAGGAAGGAGTAAACGTGAAGTCCCCCCTGATTGGAGCATTTTTAGCAAAGGGGACAAGTGCGGATAATAGATTGTAGACTAGTGGGGATGAGTGTAGATTGTGTCAAGTAAGTTAAGTAGAGGTTTAAAGGATATGTGGAATGAGTTGTGAATGTCAGTAAGAAATGTTTGGGTCTAGAAGTCAGGGAGGACATACAACCCATTAAGAATGAACCAGGAGCTGAGAAAGTGGCTCAGTGGTAGAGCGCTTGCCTTGTATGCATGAGTCCCTGGGTTCCATTCCTAAGCACCACATAAGCAGAAAAAGTCAGAAGTGGCACTGTGGCTCAACTGGTAGAGCACTAGCCTTGAGCTGAAGAGCTAAGGGACAGTTCCCAGGCCGGGAGTTCAAGTCCCACAACTGACAAAAACAAAGAATGAACCAGCCCTCTGACATAGTTGCTCCCTGGGCAGTGAGATCATGATGTTCCTTAGGAGAGTATGTAGGAAGAAGAGTTGGAAAAGCAAGAAGTTAGGGAGCTAGAGAGGATGTGGGTGTGGGCACAGACTGGGCTGCCAGTTTGGTCGTCCATCTGCAAAATTGTTTCCCTTGGTAATACAATCAGTGGGGACTTGATGTCCTTTGCAACGGAGGACGGCAGCCTGGGAAGGTAGTTGGGCTGCTTCCAGGAGAGATTTAATGAGGTATTCTTTTTTAATGGAGCCTCCTTGAGTAGTCAAAAATCCTCGTTCCTGCCAGATGGCTGCACAAGAGTGGAGCATAGGAAGGCATACTTTGAGTCGGTGTAGATGTTAACCCTTTTTCCCTGTGCTAGTGTGAGGGCCTGAGTAAGAGCAATACGTTCAGCCTGTTGAGAAGTAGTGTAAAGAGGGCTGAGGTTTAGCTTCAGTTACTGTGGTATCATCCACGATAGCATAGCCTGATTGAAAAAAACACCCTGAGGAGGGTGAGAAAGGGCTGTAGCACTACTGTCAATGAACCAAATATGGTGAGGCTCAGAGATGGGTTGGGAATGAATGTGAGGAAAAGGAGAAAGAAAGAGATCAAGGGCCCCCCAGCAATTGTGAGTAGAGGAAAGGCCATCGATCGGCAGTAAGGCAGCAGGATTTAGGGGAGGGCAAGTTGGAAATGAGTATTGGGAATTTTCAATAAAGATGAGATGAAATAGTTGTAGTTTGGAAGGTGTGAGAGTAGAGGTGGCTCTATGTGACAGGATGTCCTGAAGGTGGCGCAGGGAGTGGATGTCAGTCTGCTGGCCAAACGGGAGTTTGGAGCTGTCAGTGGCTAGCACTGCTGCTGCTGCCCGGGCCCAGACACAAGGCGCCCACCCTTTGGTGGCTATATCCAGTTGTTGGGACAGATATGCCAGTGGGGCAAAGGTACCCAAAACCTCCTGCCCCAGAACCCCAACATGACTCATGACTCTGTCACATAGAAAATAATAGGTAATGACAGGTTAGGCAGAATGAGGGCCAGGCTGAGGGTGTGGAAGGATGCTGAAATAGGTTTTGTAGAGTCTAAGGGTTCAGAAAGGTCACCCCCTGATGCCTCATAGAGGAGCGTGGCAAGGAGGGAAACATTGAGAATCCACAGATGAAGGTAACCTGCCAGCCCCAAGAAGGAAAGAAGCTCTGATTTAGAAGTTGGGGTGGGGAGGCTAGAAAGAAGGGACTTGTGGTTTGTCATAATAGAATGGATGGTGGGAGTGAGGCAGACTCCCAGGAAGGTAACAAATTGTAAAGAGATTTGGGCCTTTTTGGGGGAAACATAATACCCATGGTGGGCCAGACAGGTAAGGAGACAAATGGTATTAGTAGTTGAGTGTTGGAGAGAAGGGCTACAGAGGAGAAGATCATCCACATACTGGATGAGAAAACTTGGAGACAAATTTGGCCAAAGAAATGTGGACTGTCTTGAAACCCTGGAGGGAGGACTGTCCAGGTGAGCTGTTGGGAGTGATGGGTGTCTGGATCTGTCCTGGTGAAGGCAAAAAGGTCTTGACATTGAGTGTGAATGGGAGCAGTGAAGAAAGCATCTTTAGGGTCTAGAACGGAAAAGTACTGGGTTTGTGGGGGGGGAATGGTGGATAAAAGGGTATAGAGACTGGGGACCACCAGGTGAATAAGAACAGCTGCGTTGACAAGGTGTAGATTCTGAACAAGGCGATGGGAGCCATCAGATTTAATTACAGGAAGGAGAGGAGTGTTATAGGGAGAGTTGGTGAGTCAGAAAAGTCCTGAGGAGAGAAGCCTGGTAATGATGGGCTTGAGGCCCCTTAGATGTTTAAGAGCAATAGGGTATTATGGGGTAGAAGGAAAGTTGAGATGAGCTGTGAAGAGAGACCAGAACTGGCATAAGGTGAGTAGCTATAGTGGGGGTTATAACATCCCACAGTGCAGGGTTTACTTCTGAGGAAGGGAAAGGGGCTTTATATCCAGGAGCCAGCTGGAGATGCTATGGGCGGGGAAGAGAGTTACAGTGGGAAAGAATGTGAGTGTAGCCTTGAATTTGGACAGAATATCATGGCCCAAAAGGGGCATGTGGCAATGTGACACAACTAAAAAGGGATAGGTGCACTGGGAGCCTTGAAAGGTACAAAGTAGAGGCTGGGAAGGTGGCTCAGTGGTAGAGCGCTTGCCTTGCATGCATGAGGCCCTGGGTTCGATTCCTCAGCACCACATAGGCAGAAAAAGCCGAAAGTGGTGCTGTAGCTCAAGTGGTAGAGCTGAAGTAGAGCTGAAGAGCTGAAGGACAAAGCCCAGACCCAGAGTTCAAGCCCCACGACCGACAGAAACAGACAAAAAACCCCACGCAGTATTGAGGAGTTCCCACTGAAGGATGTTGGGGCTGTCCTCAAGCTTTTTTTTTTTTTTGCATATGTACTTATTCTTTTATTTTTGTAAAGGAAACAATATAAAAACTCTTAGGGGCACACAAATGGAGAAACAAGGGTGAGCAAATGTAGTTGTTGAATTACATGACTTGAGGGAAGGGCCAGAGGGTGACACGGATCATCATGCGTCCTACTCATAACCTCGAGGGGCTGCCATTCGCCCATGACAAACACGTGGAGCATCTTCACATCCGGGTCCTTGTGGAAGATGTTGGGTTTGGCGTGGTGCTGGAAATGGCGATGGTTCCACCAGTTGGCGGAGGCACCCTGTAAGTGGCCAATGACAAACTTGTGGGCAACGTGGTTCCACTTGGACTTCTTGTAGACAGAAAGGTGGCCGTCATCGTGTTGAAGCCATCCAGCTTGAGCCTGAGAGGTAGCAAGGACAAAGGCCGTGATGAGGGTAGGAATCTAGCCATTGCCAAAGTAATGAAGGATGAGCCATGCGATCATCTCCATGACAATGATGTGCCCCAAGAGGAAGAAGAAGAAGTGGTTGGTCTTGAACAAGTTCATGTCCCCGGCCGTTCTCTTCAGGGCCCGGAAGTCCTCGGTGATCTGAACACTCTGGCCACGGTCCAGGCTGGCCTCCTCTGGGGCCAGCTCACCAATCAGCAAGGGCTTCAGGAACTTGCTCAGGAAGTCAAGGTCAGGGTGGAAGGCACGGAAGGCATCCGTGGCATCCTCGCCCGCCCGCCCGCCCGCGTAGTGCTCGATGGCCCCCCGGGGGCCGCTTGGCCCACGCGGTGACGTTGTAGACCTTGCGGTCCACCACCAGCCACTTGTCGGTGCGCAGGTTGTGCCTCTGGATCTCCTCCCAGCGGAAGGTGGGCATCGCCGCCTCGCGCTCGCCCGCCGTCGCCTCGCCCTGGTTCCCCCGCTTCCCCATGCCCGCCAGGCTGCGCATCCCACGCCCTCGCGGCTCGCCGTGCCCCGACGGCTCCCTCCCCGGGCCTCTGAGTTGTCCTCAAGGTTTTTAAAAATTTTCCTGGCTTTGGGGGAGGACTGAGACATAAAATGAGAATGGAAGAGAGCAGTGCCCAGTGGAGTAGATGGGTCAATGTGGGTGAACTGGTGCAGGGCATCTGCCAGATGGCTCAAAATTTCACTGGGAGTCTCATTGGGATGCTGAATTACTTCTCTCAATTTGTCACAGTTGACAGACTTGTGGGCAGTCTTTGCAAGGCCATGGAGGATGTAGAAGACCATGTAGTCCCTAAGAGCCAGTAGGGATGATCAAGCCAGTAGTTACATCCTGGGTCAGAGCGAGAGACAGCTTCATGACCAACACATTTTTTTTAATTATTATTTTGGGCGTGTATTTCATCCCTTCATGCTGTGTCTCCACCCAGGCTCGCTCCCGATCTTCCAGGGGTAAGAGTAGAAGTAAGGATCACAAAGAGGTCATGGCAGGTAAGGTCATAGGACTGAATAAGGTATTTAAGCTCCTTAATATAGGTATCTGGGTCAGTTTGAAAGAGCCCAAACATTTTTCTACCTGTGACAGATCAGAGAGAGAGAAAGGAATGTGAATACAAACAATGCCTTCAGAGCTGGCCACCTCCTGAAGAGGAAAAAGGTGAGCTAGCCACAGTGGATGATTGATGGATAGTGCAAGAATGGGTGAGAGGTGGAGAGAGAGGCGGTGAGGGGTGGAGGGAGGGATAGAGGAAGGTGCCTGTTGATAGGCTGGTGGGGAGGGAGAAGAAGACTGAGAAGTGGGGTTGGGAAGGGAATGTGGAGGAGGGCAGTGGTCAGCAGGGTCGAATGGCTAGTCTGGTTGTGGAGAGGGGCACAAGAAAGTTTAGGTTGTGAATGAGCTAAAAGGATCTGAGGAGCGCTACAGGATTGACGAAGAGAGGGTGGAGATCAGAGATAGAAAAAAAACCCGGGCAGAAGGAATTTCTCCAGCCTTGCCATTTCGGTGACAAGTTATCCAGGTCTATGAGGATACTAAAGACAAAGGTACCATTTTCAGGCCATCTAGACTCACTGTCCAATTGGTATTGAGGCCATGCCACATTACAATAGAAAATGAGTTTGTTGGGTTTAGTAATGTCTCAGAGACCCGGTTCAGGGAAATTAGCCAAGAGACAGCCCCAATTTAGACAATTTAGATTGAGAGATACTCATTTTAGGCAGAGGGTGGCAACCGAGATCCTGGTAGAGGAATTTTCTGTCACTCTGGGTGTCCCCAGCAGTACAGAAGAACTTCTAGTAGATAGGACAATACCTCAAAGGGTTGTCAACCAGTGAGACAACGTCGCAGGAGCGTTCCCTGGCCAGGTGCCTGGTCTTCCCAGAAGGAAACAAAAGTAGGCAGGGAGGCTCATAGACACAGGAGGTCAATGGTCACCCTTAAGGATCCAATCGTGAGGCATGCAGAAGTCTGAAAGAGCTGACAGAGGAGAGTAAAGGTTGCTTGCTCTGAGGAGGTCTGGGGAGTAGGAGGGGGGGGAAGGGGAGGAATCAACCCCTATGGGGGAATTGTCCCAGACCACTCCTCCCCGATTTCAGCACCAGGATGTAAGAAGTGAGAGGCAAGTAAGAGCGACTGATAGGATCTCAAGGCTTTATTGGAGGGCAGACCTGTTAGGCTGCTCCAAGCAGGAATGGAGGCAGCAGCCTTGGAGAGGTGTATGCTGAATTTAAACAGAATTTTAGGGGACAGTCACATGGGCCACATTAGTTAGATTATGGGAACTTGGGGGTAGGGTCGGTTCCAAGAAGGGGTGTTATGAAGTTGTTACGTGGACTACAGGAATTGGGGGGAGAGTCACATTCCAAGAAGGAGTGTGGGGCTGGGAAGGTGGCTCAGTGGTAGAGTGCTTGCCTTGCATGCATGAGGCCCTGGGTTCAATTCCTCAGCACCACATAGAAAAAACCCGGAAGTGGCGCTGTGGCTCAAGTGGTAGAGCGCTAGCCTTGAGCTGAAGAGCTGAGGGACAGCGCCCAGGCCCAGGGTTCAGGCCCCAAGACCGGACCCAAAAAAAATAAAAAAGTGTCTTTTTCAAAAAAAAAATTTTGGGGGGGTCCAGTCGTGGGGCCTGAACTCTGGGCCTGGGCGCTGTCCCTCAGCTCTTCAGCTCAAGGCTAGTGCTCTACCACTTGAGCCACCTTCCCAGCCCCTCAAAAAATTTTTAAGCAAAATATTGTAATACTGAATGTAAAATGATTTACAAAAAAAATATTACCTGAAAAAATGGTATAACATAGTCTATAAACAAAGTAAGGAGCTAGGTGCTGGTGGCTAATGCCTGTAAATTCTAGATACTCAGGAGGCTGATCTGAGAATCGTATTTTCAAGCCAGCCTGGGCAGGAAAGTCCAGAAACTCTTACCTCCAATTAACCACCAAAAAGCTAGAAAAGTGACTATGAGCTCAGGTGGCAGAGTGCCAGGCTCCAGTGAAAAAAGCTGAAGGACACTGTCTAGGACCTGAGTTCAAGGCCCAGTACCAGTTCACTCTCTCTCTCTCTCTCTCTCTCTCTTTCTCTTTCTCTGTCTCTCTCTCTTTCTCAAAATTAGGGCAACTTTTTTTGGGGGGGGGCAGTCCGGTCATGGGACTTGAACTCTGGGCCTGGGCGCTGCTCCTCAGCTCTTCAGCTCAAGGCTAGCGCTCTACCACTTGAGCCACAGCGCCACTTCCAGCTTTTTTTTTCTGCTTATGTGGTGCTGAGGAATCGAACCCAGGGCCTCAGGCATGCAAGGCAAGCACTCTACCACTGAGCCAACTTCCCAGTCCTAGGGCAACTTTTTCAGTGATCCAGTAAGCCTTTTTTTGGAAAGAAAAATCTCATTTCTTCATAGAAACAAATTTTTAAAATAATTTTACAAATGGAAAAGCTCACGTTTCAAAGTAAAAGGTAAATTGTAGATCACATTGACAACAATTAATAGTTTTTACATTTACCTAAGCAACACAAATGATGCTCAGCTGTGAGCTGCTAACTAAATTTCTATGACAAATACATTAGCTTATTTTTACTTTTTTTTTAAAAAAGACAAGCTATATATTTAATAATATAGAGGACAAAAGAAAGAATATTGGAATTGTATGTAGGAAAACTAGAGGTTTTGTTGTAAAACAATGATAAAATGGAGGTAAATCTCTTGACAATATGAGTGATGTCAAATTAGACTTTAAGAAAGTTTTCCAACATTCTTTTTACTTTCTAAACCATCTTCTGGTATATTAGTACTAGGAATATCTGGCAGTCTAAAGTTACATTAGTCTGTCCTTGACATTAGTATTCAGCTAGGCTGATGGAAGAATGACAGCCTCTCTATCCTAGTGGGTGAGCATGAGTATTATATTTTTAAAAATACAAATTGCATTATAGAAAAAACTGAAGATTAAGGCTAATCTAGTAGTTTGTTTGTTTCTTTTTTTTTTTCCTTTTTGCCAGCCCTAGGGCTTAACTCAGGGCCTGAGTGCTATCACTGAGCTTCTTTGTGTTCAGCTAGTGCTCTACCACTTGAACCACAGTACCACTTCTGGCCTTTTCTGAGTAATTTCTTGGAGATAAGAGTCTCACAGACTTTCCTGCCTGGCTGGCTTTGAATCACAATCCTCAGATCTTAGCCTCCTGTGTAGCTAGGATTGCAGGCACAAGCCACTAATGCCCAGCATTAGTTTCTTTAAGCTTTTACTTTAGATGTTATTTCTAGCATATGTAAAGAATAGAGAGTTTGATATGTTTAAACATTTGTACTTCTTAGTTGTTAACTTATCAGTGAAGAATCTAATGTTTTTAAATGTTTTAAGTAAACAACTTTCAAGTCCTAGGAATATCTTTTTTTAACTTTCCATGATATATATCTTAATGAGCTGCTTCAAAGCTGCCTTAATTTTTTTTTGTTCGTTTTGTTTTTGACCAAGATACAGGCTTTATTTAACAAAGCATTCTAGATGGAACACATGTGGTTTATTACAAAGTAATAATTTATATGCCAAGACTTGAACCAAGTCCTCTGGGAACCAGAAACTACCTGGAGTCTAGAGGTTGATCTGATGATGATGATGATGTACTTATACAAAAAGATTTGATTCTATAAGTCAGATTATGAATATAATACCTCTTGATCGGTGTCACCTCTCCCATCATTTCCCCATTTTCATTACTACCCTAAGTTACTCAGTTTGATTTTCCATTTTTTAAAGTTTTGTCGATCATAGGGCTTGAACTGAGGGCCTGGGCACTGTCTCTGAACTCTTTTGCTCAAGGCTAGTGTTCTCCCACTTTGAGCCACAGGTCTACTTTCAGTTTTCTGGTGGTTAATTGGAGATAAGAGTCTGATAGACTTTCCTGCCTGGGCTGGCTTCAAATGGTGATCCTCAGCTTTCAGCCTCCTAAGTAGTTAGGATTACAGGCATGAGCCACTAGTGCCCAGCTCATAGATTGATTTTTTTACACAATGCATATTGAATATAATGATTGCATTTGCTATTCTTGAAAAGCTGCCTATTGAAGTCAGGGAAAACACAGAAAAATTAATAACAGAGGGTTGCAGACATGACTCAGGAGGTAGAACCTTAACTAGAAAGTGCAAAACCCTGAGCTCAAATCACAGTATTGCCAAAAAGAGAGATGAAAATAAAATGTATAATTAATGGAATCCTATTTGCCACACTAAATAAAATCCTTTTGGATTTGGAGGCATGGATCCTGTAAAGCATCAGCCAGTGATCTAAAGCATCAGTTCAGGAGTTTGAGTCTCCTCTCAGACCAAAAAAGAAAGAGAAAAGATCCTCTCCCCTTTGAAAGCCACAGTGCCATCTCACCTGTTGCCAAGATACAGAGAAGCCACATTTTGAGAAGTTGAATTGAGAGTCTTTTGGAAGGCTGGTATCTGCATCGTGGACTATTGTCTGAAAGACCAATAGCCCCACAAACGCACTTAACACTGTCAGAAAACTGAGCCATGATAGCAGGAGAGGAAAGAGCAGGAAAACA